TTATGTTATAATAATGGAAAGGCTTTAGACTCAGGACTAATGGTTTTGTAAGGATCATGCGTATAATCTAAACTGTTTTTTCCTTACAAAGAACTGTAATCCTGTCTAAGAGAGTTAAAATATTCTAAGTGTTACTTAAACTTTAAAGTATATACCAACAATAAAAGTTAAAATAAAGTTACAAATTACTTTATTTTTTTTGATATTGTTTTTATATCAAATACTACAGAATAATATATTTTATTGCTTAATGAAGTATTTTTTTATATATCACACATAAATACAACAGCCATATTAATAATATATTATATACCTACCTACTTTATTATATTATTAAGTATTCAAATTATTTTAACTTAAAATAATTTCTATGTATTATACGTACAGCCAAATATTCAAAGTTTAAGCGGATAACATATCTTTTGTATTAATCAATTAAAAAAACATTTAGACCGTCTCATGCCGATATTGTTATATTTTCTCTCTTGATACTATTTATAAAATCATTAAGTAAGAATCTCTACAACCATAATCAGCCTAATGAGGCAAACTTTTTGGATAAGCAAAACAGGTTAATATAATAAACGATTTATTAAAATGAACATTTTTCAAGCTGATTTTATAAAATAAATAAATGTTTCTTTATTTTTCACGATTATCTTGTTTAAGTATTTACTCTTTTAAAAGTATAAAATTAAAAAAAAAGTACTGTAATTAATTTTAATACCCAACACTTCATTTTCAGAGTAATAAAAAAATCAATGTAGCGCATTGATATGTAAATAACTTCATAATATAATAAATAAATAACACAGTAAAATCTCCACTAACAAAAATAGCAATAAATAGCGATGACCCTAAATAGCAGACATATTTTTGAAAACAAACTAAACTACAGATTTTTTATAAACTGAACACTTAAAATAATTGAAAAAATATTAGTATTGATGTTTAGAGGTTTTTCTATAACATTAAAAATACAAAAAACATACTTAATGTCACCGAAATGTATTTATGAGTGTCTCATCATTTCGACACGCGTCAAATAAACGCGTTCATTTAGAGCTTAAACGAACAACAATTGGACACATGCAACATTTCGACTCATACAATTTTGACACCATTACACCTCGTTAGGCGTGATTAAATTTCAAATTTCAATGCAAAACAAAAAATTTAATTAAAATTTTAAATTACTTAGCCTACTCTTAAACCCCCTCAAACTAATACTTGTATGTCATAAACGTTTTTTATACACATACGTTTTGACTTACCATCAAAATTACTGTCAGCTCGCACTGATCAATAAAATGTTAATTTCAGGTAATTCAATAAATGATTTTGATTTTTCCATAACTTAACCAGATCAATATCACTGATTTAATATTGTGAATAATATTCGTATTTAATACTGAGATAAGGATATGTTGTCACAGATTTTTATATTTATTTTTCTGAATATAAACTTATGAGCGTATATTTATTAATAAATAAATAACAAATAAAAATATAGGTATTAAGTGTAGAATTTGTAATATAAAACTTCATTTGTCACATTTATGTAAGTATAAGTATAATATACAATTTATTTAATTTTAAATTGCGCGTAATACCTTGAATCACTTTGTTAGTTGCGTAGTTACTTATAACTTATAACTATAATATAATATAGATACCGGTTTTTATTTTGTGTCAAAAGTGATGACTGATATAACTGATATTTACATATAATATATTATTTTCATTTTTATTTATTTGTATTATGCTGAAATAAATTTACGTCTAAATGTAGTAGCATAACATCGCATGAGCCGAAATGACGTAGGTACATTCATATTATAATAATAAATAATAATTGACGAAAATTAGTTAGACCAAAGAGTAATAACTCGAATAGTCGAATAAATTACCAATTGACTAATACCTGTGCAAATAATAATGTATATTTTTGTATAAACGGAAGTTTACGACTTCATTCATGACTTAATTAATGTAAGTGAGTATACCTTATGATTTTAAGAGATTCCAATAATAAAATTAAATAAAATTGTATTACGTATATTTTAATTAAGTACTATAAATTATTCTCAAATCACCAGATGTCCATATTTTTTAGTAAAAAAAAATATTAAAACATAAAATTTAAGAATTCAAGAACTTACTGTTCGTTCAAAATTTAAATTGATACATCAACATTTATAAAAAAAAAAAATCAATTATTTAATAAATTGCGATGAAATGAGTGATTATACTTGAAAAGAATAAGTTCGTTTCACCACAATAATCTCTTAAATTGTATTAAAAAATCTTATTTATTTGAAAATATGACCATTAAGTTTACTACGTTTTAAAAGCATATTAATACAATAATGAAATAAATGAATTCTCGATGGAAATACTGACCATGAGCATACTTAGTGACTAACTCTGTACAAGAAATCTGCTAATTGTTAAAATGCCATCTTGGTAGGTGTTACTGAGAGCCGAATATTACGAATATTGTAATATCACAATAAAATTATATTTCGAAACGACAATGAATACAAACATTATTTTCGATGTTTGTTTTATTTCCCATTTAATTTTTACAAAGTGGAAATAAAATTACTGCAGTTGCAGTATAATCATCGGAATTATATTTTGACTCAAATTTAAGAAATTTATCGGAATGATTTTCCGGATACATTTTTGTAGCCGTAATTCGCAAAACGGTTTCTATGTCTGTAACCATGGTTCTCCGGTACCTACGGCGGTGGCCAACGCAGTCTTATGTGTATATCAATCAGATAATATATACCACACCCCTGCAAGGGGATGGTTTTCTTCTACAGCCCTTCTACCGGCCGGGCCCATCGTCGCGTATTATTATGATAATTATACCACAAGATGCGACGTACATTATGTGTTTATATAAATTATTATTTGTAACCGGATGATTTAAACCATGTTGGCGCAATGTAATAATTCATCTGACAATGCCAAGGCCACGCAAAGCTTTAGAAATCTAAATGAAAAAAACAAAATTATTCTTTACTAATAATATACACACGTCCCAGAATACAACAAAAAACTTGGCCTCGCGCAAAAGCCGATATATTTCTGTGTGGTTGTCAAACGCAGTTAAAATCAACCGTTATAGTTAGGTACATAGTGTGATTGGAACAAACAGCCATATCACAGCGTTCATAAAATTAAAAACCAACACCTGGAAAAATGAATCGGGAAACCCTATAGACGATAAATCTTGAAATTATAAATCACTTTTGTTCCAGCACAAAACAATAGATATCAGAATATAAAGGTTTTTCGAGCTGTTGTCATATTAAATACACATATTTCACGCTACCTATATATTTTATGTGTGTTTTTCTGTAGTATATGATTAACCCAAGTGCATAATTTGTAGATAAAATTAAATTTTTTCATAGTGTTTAATTAATCACAAACACACAATATTTTTTTTTATTCCAACCGAAGAAAGCGATGATATCCATGTTTATGATCGTTTTATAACTACCTATAGTATTAAAATTTGTTATGCGAATATTATGTTCCGGATCAATAATTTAAATCATATTTTTTTTTAAATCCTACACATACATTTAATAACGTAAAAGATAAATTAATCACAATACTAATATCCAAAACATCTGTAAAATTACCATATAAACCAATGCCCAATAGGCAATAGTCACAGAATTGAAAATACCAGTTTAAAATTGTAATATTATAATATAATAATATCTACAATGTTTATTCGTTTGTATACTCGACAAAAAATTCAATAAAACCCATCCATGTGAAACAAATAAGTTTCAGCATTTTATTTGTAAGTTATTCATTTAATATTATATTCTATCCACTAATATTATATTAAAAATAAAAATAAATAAATAAGCTCCTACGTATGTTTTGAATGATATGAGAATCCAATCAGACTATAGAAAAATATTAAATTAAGCAACGGTTGACCGCACTCGTAAAATTAAGTAAGGATACATTATGTATATGGTACCATCGTTTTGAAATTAATGCATTGATATACTTGCTTTATTGTAATTATATATAATATTATATACTAGACTATTTTTTTTTATCGAAAAATATTCATTATGTCGAAATATATTTATGTTTTTTAAAATATTTTTTTTCCATAATTTCCAATCTAAATTATATAAATTTTTTTAAGTTTTTTATTTTTTCAAACGACTTAAACATTTTTAATCTCATAATTTGAAACAGAATATTTTTTAAAGTATTTCGATACATAAAAATCTAAATTCGGACTAATAGTTTATGAATTATAAGTATTTCAAGTGCTGGTGATCAAAATGAAGTGGTGTGTGGAGGATATATTTTGTCTACTGAATCCGCTTTTACCTAAACTTTAAGTACTTAAAACTCATAAACTACTCGTCAAATTTCGATTTTTATTTATCAAAATATTCCAAAAAATATTCTACTTCAAAATATGAATTTAAAAATTGTATGTTGTTATTCAAAAAAGTAAAAACTTAAAAAATTTAACAATAAAAAATTTTTAAAAATATAATTCTTTAAAAAAAAAAAAAAAGGTTTTTATTTCGACTAAAAATTATATAAAAAATAAATATTTTCAAAAACATAAGTATATTTCAAAATAATGAATATTTTTTGATAAAAGAATTGAAATGTACGTATATTGAATATAAAATACAAGATCTTTTGAACTCCATGTGATTAAAAATGGTTAAGATTAGTTATGTTGATTATTACAAAATCCTCACCATTTTCGGTACACAAAGACGTTTACAATATAAAAAACTTAAAGGGGTATATAATTTTTACCTTACCACCCCTGTGTATATGCAGGAACTTTTATTTTCTATAGGTTATATTATAAAGATAGAAGTAATAATAATAATATATTTATTTCAAATTACTTTTAACTTTTAAAGATAATAGTAACTTTTGTTTGCAAGTATACATTGTAGTATATTATTGTTTTTATTGACTTACAGAATGTGTTGGCTTAAGGGACTTGAAAATCCACGTCCCTGTGGCAGTAAGATCTGGATCCATACTGCAAATGAACTGTACATACGATTTGGAAAATACAGCATTGTATTCAATAAAATGGTATTTGAGGGATCAAGAATTTTATCGATATGTGCCAAAAGAATCGCCTCCCACCCGTGTTTTTCCAATGCCTGGAATTATAGTTAATGTGAGTAAGAATAAAAAAAATTAACCTCCTTTTACTATAATGCTGTTTAAATGAAAATGTATTTATATTAAGTTAAATATATTATAAATCATTTTTAGACTTTTTTTTTTTAGTATTAAGTTATTTATTCAAGAAGTAGATTATGATTTAAATATATCAAAAAACATTAAATACATAATGTATTAGCTATCCCTATGTACTTTGTTTACCATTAAAAATGACACCTTTTATAATATGATACAAACTTTATTCGATTTGTTATTTAATACTTGGTGTAATTATGTTAAAAACTTTTAAAAAAATAATAGTGCAGTGTTATCTATACTTCTATTTTATAATTATATTCAAATAATGAAACTCAATACTGAAACGGTTTTTAGCAATTAATAAAAAATATTGATTTATAACTGAAGTGGTAGAAAAAAGTCAGACATTTATCTGTCTGTGGTGGCCAGTTATTTGTTGAAATGATAATCAAGACATTCTTAAAATAATGTACTAAAATATCTAAATAACCGAGTTATAAATCTTAATCGAATACAACCAAACACAATAATAACTGTACAGTTTACATATTAAAGTGTTGAACATGATTTTAAAAAGATGGTTTTCACCAAATAGAAAATAGATATTGGTTTAAAATTTATCCAATTATAATAGATAAGTATTTTATTTTATTTTATTTAACTAATGGTAACTCTTAACAAATAAAAATTAATTATTTTTCAAAAAAGTCTATAAAATTCACTGACTAAGCCCTTCTTTGCAATATAAATTTTGCAACATTTTTTTGGGGGGAGTTCTTTTATTATGAAACGAAGATATTATCAAAATTCTAAGCTTAACTAATTATGATCAATAATGGGATTCGTTCACAGACAACACAAAATTTGTATAATATCTTAATATGCGAATTTGACAGTTATTTTAAAAATTAAAACTTGAATATTAATTAACTTATAAAATCAGAAATATGTTTAAAATATTACCCGTGATATAGGTAGTCTATAATTTAAAAAAGGAACCACATGACGATTAGATGAGTGGTTACTAAGATTATTGGCGTCTAAGATTTTCACTTTCACATTTATATGTGTAAATACCGAAGTATATTACTTAAAAACAATAATTTTATAAACATACTTAAAATTTAATTAAATGTTCGATTTTTATTTATCAAAAACTCCGATAAATATTGTGCTATAACATGAAAGTAGAAAAGTAGGTAACCGCTCTGCTGTACAATAGTTATCGATTATAATACTGTAATTAGTTATCGACTAAGCGACTATAAAATTTAATTTGAACTCAATGTTTATCATTGTATACGAAAAACATTTCTGTGCGAAAATAATCCATCAGTCGTTTATATTATAAATCATAACATTTTATGTCATGTTTTTTATATTATTATCAAAGTAATTTATTATTATACAATCAGTATTACGGTAGGTTTATTTCATTTTTTCGAGAGCATTGTATTTATATTAAATTACACCTTTCTGTAAAACGGTGTGAATACGCTTGAAAATTTAAACGTTTCAAACATCTACAAATGCTCTAAAAGATTCAAAATTTCATACTTGGATAATAATAATAAAACATTAAGTGAAAATTTTAAGCATCTAGATTTATTTGTATTATTATTACTATAACATAACAAAATTGATTGTGACAAAAACTTGTCTGTGTAAAAATTTAGTTTTTTCATAGTATTTTAAAATTAATATGATAATTTCTGAGAATTTTTTATAGTTAACCCTTTTCTCTTAAAATAACAACAAGATTCACTTTCTTATTAAAAAACATATTGAAATCAAAAATCTTTAATTTTGACTGCTTAAGAAGATGAAAGTGTACAAAAAAATTTAAAAATTACAAACTAATACACTTTATTGTAAGATTAATATATTCATTGCTCCGCTTAAAATTAGAAATATATCTTGTCATTCAAAAATGTAAAAACTTAAAAAATTATAATGATAAGCAGTTTTTTTCATAATTTCTTTAGTTTTTGAAATGATGAATATTTTAAGTTAAAAAATCACTAGTTATAAATTTTTTATTTTTATAATCTAAGCAAAGTAATGAATATATTGGTTTTCAACGAAGCATAATGTTGTTTTTTTGTGTGTCTTAAGTCAACATTTTTAGGACATAGCTATTCGGCTCCTATTTTACATAAAGATCAAATCCCGAATAGCTCCCGTCAAAAAAAGTCTTACGAACAGGTATTTACTCAAATGACTTCGGGGTTTTACAACACGAATACCTTTCCACGCAGACTTAGAACTGTCTCAATAAGATGTGGTTGGTGATTTTTCAAGGTTATATACAAAAATCACGTATTGTAAATTAAATTAAATTCTATTAAAAGAAAACGAAAAATATTCAACCAACTTTTTCACATAATCCACTTGATATCTCGAAAAAATAATTAATAAATATGATTATCAATAAATGCACATAAAGGCAGTGGATATCGTGAACAGACTTAATTTCGAACAAACTGCTCAGGCTGACACGATGATTTACCATATCCATATTGGTTACATTTTATAAGCAAAATTATTATTGACTATAATTTATATTATAATATGTACTTAATTCAACCTCTTATTATTGTCAGTATTGACAATTAGCCATCAATACACACACTATTGATTAGATATCGATGATATACAATAGTCATGTAGGAACGATATAATACAGACAATCATCGCCTATTATATCGCCAAGTACATAAGTACGTATAATATATAATTAATTTCGATATAAATAATATGTTCAATGTTTCGGTATATTTAATATTATCAATACGAGTACCTATATACGATATTTTCGGTGTACTATTTTAAAAATTAATTTTAAATTTAAAAATACGGTATACCGGTTCATAGACCTCAAATCTGTATACCAGTATTACCGTCAGCTGTTAGATAATTTACCTGTTCATAAAACCTTTTTCAACGAGAACCGTTTGGGATTTAACCATTTTACCATTCATAAAATATTTTTCGACGAGAGCCGTTTGGGAATAATAAAACAATGGATAGGAGCCATTTGAAATGCTCCGAATTTCTATACCACCAATCAAAATATATTGAAAAAAATATCATTACAATTACAATTAATTTAATAATCCTTAAAAGTTTAGATTTTAACAAAAAGCAGAAAAATTGGATATTTATTATATTAATAAATATTAATATAATTAAGTATAATTTTTTTTATTATTATTATTTATTATTAATTTACCTTATTTATTATGCTTAAGTGATTTTTGTTTTTTTTAATTAAAATATTGATTGTATATTCCACTTTTATTAAAATGATGCTTTTCTAATTTCTATAGACAGTAGAAATTTCAAAATATTTAAACAAATTAATGCTACACTCAGATACTTGAAATTTTTCAATTTTGTTTTCTTTAAATGTTAATTAACAATGTTTTCTAGATCAAATTGCTTAAAAATATTATACAAGTTTTTACAGAAAATTTAAAATATCAAAAAATACAAGGGAATTTTTTTTAAATTATTTTTACAATGAAATTTGTCAAAATACGAAGATTTTGTAGTTAAAAATTGATGAAATTTCCTTTTAAAATATCTTAAGTTTAAAAATTTAATGAAAGTTTCTTCAAAAATTTTTCTTACAGCAAACTCAAAATATTGATCAAACATAAATACAATTCTTGTGTTATTTCAAATCAAGAGACAAAATTATAATATACTTTAATAAGAAATGATATCATTGAATTTTTTATATTACAATTTTTTTCGCTTTATCGAAATTTAAATTTAAAAATTAATCATTAGAAATGTACACTTTTTATCCATTATGAATATTTTTAGTTTTTATACGAACTAAATTTTCAAAATAGTTAATTGATTTATTATTAATCATACCACAAACTTAATTGCACTATTACACGCAGTACATCGGTTAAATTTTAAGTAGGTATCATCATAGGCGAAACTACAGGTCAGGCCAGTCAGGCCATGGCCTGACCTAATACTGGCTGAAAATTTTTATTTGTATATTGTATATTATTATATAATATTTTAATAATTATTTGGCACATATTTTTTTATATATATTTTATTTAGCTTGACCTAATGAAAATGTCTAGTTTCGCCAATGGGTATCATATTATTATAAATTATATTTTATCAACATCTTATTATTTAACTTATTGTCTATCCAGTATTATTATAGGTACTAAAATTTGAGAACGACACACCGTTTCTGCTCAGAATCATTATTCAAATAGAATGATTCATCATTACAATTAAATTTAACATGTCCATTAAAGTAATCTACTCAGTGATGAGATACCTACACTCGAAATATACTACACAGCATAATACTAACGTCCCCTTTTTTTTTTCAGTTCACATCAAGTAATATGATTTAAAATACACGTTTAAACACACATTAAATATTTATTTTGACTTTATTAATAGAGATGGGTTATACACACGAATAAATAATCGATAACACCATCTTAATATGGGAAATTACTTTTGATTTTATATAATAGCAGGCAAGTTTGGAGTTTAGTTTTAATTATATTTGTGCACACTGCGCGTACCGGATCATTAAAATAACTTCTGTAGTCTTACATCACAATGCCAGATTTTTACATTTATTATTGAACTAATGCCAAGTATGAATTTCTGTACCATTTGTTTTGGTATACACGCATGCATACAAAACATAACGAGTGATTAATTATTTTAATATTTTATGTACAGTAGGTACCTATTGGCTACTACCAACCAGCTATTTAGAAAATAAAACAATAATCTACATTTTTACACAATATTTACATGTGAGGTTTTATTCTTGAGCAGAATCACATACAATTATACAAAGGTATACAATTGGTTATATACCAATGGTGATAGACAATCGGACAAACCTCAGTAATAACAACACATTTTTTATTATAATTTTAACTTTCGCTATGAATTTACATTGCGTCATTAACGTTA